TAAAGGCTGAAGGGGTGGGCGAGGGGATTGTTTCTCATTTTGTCTCCCGAGTCATTTTTCTGCTAAGAAATATGACCAAGCTTTGTAGGAAGACTCATCTTGGAGAAAATGTGAAGTAATCAAATTGCTTGCTTGAGATTAATCTCCTATTTGTATATTAGAGCCAAAACACATAACAACTTTGGCAACAGGGAATTGTCTAGACTCAATTTTCAGAGGTCCCATTGTAGTGAGTTAATACTACTAATCATGTCAATCACTTGACATGGAAGTCAGTGGCAAGTCTTTAAAGTATGCATTTGATATCGGCAAATATATACTAGTGATGTTTCACAAAAGAATTTTAGAATATGTAAAAAACATTGTTTTAATTACATCCATGAATGATTTCTAAAGTACAGCTTTAAAGTTTTGATTTTTCTATTTAAATAAAAAGCTATTGATGTGTTTTAGCATGTCCTCAAAATAGATTCCTGTATTTCTTACAGAGATAATCTTACTATAACCGCAAATCCCTACAACACAATATAAAGTTTCCCTGTAGTTCACCCATGAAAATTATTTGACTTAAAAACAACCATAGTAGTAAACAAATTGCAATTCAAAATGCAACATCCTTGCCATAAAAGATGTAATTTAAGTGACTGTGATCCTTTGTCTCCCTTTCAGGATCCCATCAAATGGGATTTAGTTGCCAGAAAGATACTTGACAGTCTGAAGGTACAGGTGATAAGATTTTGTTCTCTGTGAATATTTTTAAACTAATAGGTTAAGTTTTTAAATCTTCAGTTTGGTAAAAACTGAAACGTCTTGGAATATTGGTTCTATTAGAGTTATATATGTTAAAACAGGAAAGTGTGTTTATTTTCAGATAAGGGGAATTTATACTTTTCATTAAAGCCTCAGATTCTTAGGAAAATGTTGAGGGTTTATCTTCCCTCAGTGTCATTAATACTAATGAACTATTAGATCAAATTCACGTATACATTTAATATCATACTCAATATCCAGAATTTAAATTTTTTTTCTCCCAGTTCATATTTCTTTGTGGGAAAATTGAATTTGTATGAAAAGTTAGATAATTTAGCTAATCAAGTGTGAAGTATACACTCTTCCTAACTGAATTAAAACAATGTAATGCTTTTAAATAAAAGCAGTGGTCCCACCACATTTTTTTCAACATAGTAGCTGGCATTTTATTATCATTAGCCAGAGTAGCTTCAGCATATAAATTATTGATGTTTTCCAACTTTAAAAGTGCATTTTATGCCTCCCAGTAAATTTGATAATGATTTGTCACAGCTTTGTCATCTTTTGACTTTTGCTTAACTGGGCCTCATTTCGTACAACTATAATATGAAAAAGGATTGTCCTAAAGTAAGGGAATCAGTTAATGGTAGGATGAAGAAACTGTAAAAACTCCTAAAAAAAAATCTGTGTGCGTTTTTCTGGAAAGTTTTCAGTTTCAAACTGTGTAATTCAGTTTTCATTCAGTTATGTAATTTGATTATATGCTTTAAAAAACATTTGTCTAAATGTTCCCGGTTTTCTTCTGGTCTTACAGTCAGCTGAGTCCTGGCTATGCAGCCACTCATTTTTGCATCCAGAAGGGAGTAACCCTTTTATATGAAGATTGGATTTTTTTTTTTTTTTAAGCTTAGATGCTATGTAAGAGAAAACTATTTGTAATCACAATAGTACCCAGGGAGGAGTGATGAATGCTTGCTTAAAAAAGGGATATTTAAGTATATTATGTAACTTAAATATAAATTATAAAACTAAAAAACTTCAGCTTTTAAAACAGTTTCTAAACAAAATGAAGCAAAGTACATTAATTCCTTCTATCTTAAATCAGACTTTTTATTTTCCCTTGGGTATATATTTCTCTCAGTGTTAGGTAGATTTTAATTCAACCATTCTACATTCTCTACATAAAGTTACACTCATTTTACATGAAAGCAAAATAATGTCTTTACTTTCATGGAACTGTGTTCTAACAGGCTTATAATCTCATTCTGTGCTTTTGGTAATGGCGTATACCAGTCTGATGATTCTTACCATCTTTATTCTAACATTACTCTTCCAATTGTTTCGACTTAACTGGTGGTCATGTAAGTTCCTCGGTGGCAAGGATTTGTCTGGTTCACTTACTGTTATATATCCTTGTGGAATAGGACAGTACCTGGCACATAATAGGCACTTTGGGAATGAATGTAAAATACTAGTTGAAATATGTATTCATCTGGCATCCATGGTACCCATCATCTGTATTAAAGGGCTTATAAAAGCATCATTGCAATAAACCATACTAACCCACCACTAAAGTCACGGTCATAATTGAAATAAGGTCCTGTGACTGTACCTTAGTTTTTACTTCAGACATGTCCAAAACTTGTGAGAACGTACAATTTAAAGTTGAAAATAATCATTTTGGGCTATTTTTGAATAGGGCTGAAATATGGTGACATGTCAGGCGCTCAGTTTTTTGGCGCTGTCTTTCAGGTGAGGTGGAAAGTGAGAGATGATTTTGCTCTAATTACCCACACATTCTCCCTAACCCTCCATTTTAAGAAACTTAGGTATAATAGCTTCTCTGCTTTTTAAACTTGCCATATAAAGACTATCAAAACTGTTCTGTGATTCTCAGTAGGATCTAGTTCAAGGCCATCTCAGTGCTAGTGATTGGTAATTGTTAATTTGATGGTAATTACCCTACTTGTAAAGTTGACATTCATACTGGCTAATCCTCCCTGCCCCTAGTCATGGCCAATGAAAACATTGAGTGGCTGGCGAATTAGATCAGATTCAAACTAAGCCATTCCTTGATGCTATTCTTCACTACTGTTCCTTAGGGTGTCTAAATGTGTTATTTATAAATATTTTTGGGGGCTCCTGCCTGCAAACTTCGGTAGGTGTTGGTCTTCCCCACCTCTACAACTGAGCCAAGGACTTGTTCTGAAAGGTGAGTAATAAGGGAACAAGGTTTCTATTTTCTGTGTTTGTAATTACCAGATTTTCACCTCTGTTTATATATTATTCTGATGTAAAAGAACCTCATAGTTATATAAAATTAGACCTTTTGTAAATAAATATAATTTATTAGAAAAAGTGGCATCTTTTACTAAATTGGATTTGTGTCAGTTTTTTCCTTTAAGCACCACTCAGGCAGCAAGCTCTATGCTGTGAGAGTTGCTAGAGGCCCACGTTATATTTTCTCAGTGTAATTCCTCTTTTTCTTGATAAAAAGACTTAAAAAAAAAAAAAAACCCATCACCACTTTGACGTACATGTTTGTTCCTTGGGCATAGATGGGCTATTAGTTTAAAAAGAAATGGAAAACATCCTTTTGACGAAATCTGGTAAATTCATCTTTGGAGACATTTCTGATAAAAATTAGGAAATACATTAGGACTAAGAGGAGTTTTATCAAACATTAAAATAGGTATGTGTGGCTGGGTGCAACAGCTTGTGCCTGTAATCCCAACACGTGGGGAGGACGAGGCAGGCAGATCACTTGAGCTCAGAAGTTTGAAACCAGGCTGGGCAACATGGCAAAACCCTGTTTCTACAAAAATTAGCCAGGTGTGGTTGTACGTGTCTATAGTCCCAGCTACTCGGGAGGCTGAAGTGCGAGGATGGCTTGAGCCCGAGAGGCAGAGGTTACTCTGAGCCAGGATTGCACCACTGCATTCCATCCTGGGTGATAGAGCCAGACCTTGTCTAACAAACAACAAAATGTGGATTATGGAGCTAGTATAAGTGTATCTGTTTTCCAGTGTAAGATCACCTCATTCTACAGAGATGATTCCAGTATGTTGAACCAAAGCAGAGTTAGTGATGGATATCAAGCCCCATTCTATTGAGAGCAGAGTTGAGTCAGGATGGTCACTGGGCATTGCAGTGAATTTTAGTGTTACACGATAGGGAGTGGGGAACGTGAGTATTTAATTCAAAGTCATTGGTAAATACCTTTTAAAAGATGAATGTTACTTTCTCTGCCTCATTTGAACTTACTGCTATAGTTGAGTTTGAAAACATTCTGAATTTGTGGAATATTAAAAGATTTTTCTTTTACCATTAGGCACCAGTCTGATAGTAAAACAAACAAGATCCTTACTGGTTGCAGAACTTAATTTTTTGTCTTTCATAAAATAAAGCTTTTAACACATTTCATAACTGGTTTAGTGGAAGGTACACTGAATTGGGAACAAAAGACCTAAGGCTTTATTATAGGCAATTATTAGATTGCACCCTGGGCAAGTCAGTTTCCCAATGTGCACAACAGTGTTTGTTAAATATCTCACAGGCTTCTTGTGAGGAATAAAGATTATTGCCTTTAATCTGTAAGCAGCTATGTGTGACAAATGCAAAGTACGCTGTGGTGGTTGTGACACTAATTATATAAATTATAATACTCCCTTAAATGACTATAATTTATATGTCTATAAATTTAAGCCACTTGAAAGGTATTCTAAAATTTAAAATTTTCCTTGTTTCCATAAAAAGAACATGAAATGTTATGCATAAACTTTTGATGACTGGGAGTTTTCTTACAACTGTCAGTCCATTTGTGCAATGGGGGCCAAACTGCTTGTGCACCTTGCCAACTGGTATGGTTGCTGGGTGCCGTGTTAACTATGCAGTTCATATATAGCCTATTATCTTTATTTGTACAACATCCTAATTGAAACATTTGGTGGGACTGCTGGGGGGTTGTGGCATTTCACCAAACAAAGGTGCTGTTTCCCCAGAAGCTGTATGTTTATAAATAATACAATTTTGGAGATGTAGTTTCATTTCCAAGATCCATTTTCTATGTTTTATATAGCAAGTGGTCAAGATTTCACATAGGGAGGAATCCTTCCTGAAGTTTACCAAGTGTATTTGGATTCTGAGTTCAAATAGCAAGATAGATATATGTGTTTCTAGAAGGTAAGTCTACATAATATTGCTAAAACCCCCTAAATTGTACCATTGAAAGATTATGACATATTACAGAATAGTAGTGTAAATAGTTTATTTGCTCATATGCCATGAAAAGACCAGAAAAGTAACATGAATTGCTTTTATAAAATATTCTAATATTGCTAAGAAGCAGGCCCATTAATAGACAGAAAAGAACATGCCAACGTTGTCTGTTTGTAGATGAATAAATAGGCAATTATTTTAACATATATGTCAGCATTGAACTTTGGAAAACAGCTGCTTTGTAGTGGAAGTCCAACTTGGTCAAATTGCTATTTTTAATCAAAGTGAATGTTCAGTCCACAGAAAGACAAAATCTTGGCATGTTCTTTTTAAAGTACACATTTATGGGAATGTGCCTGCAGGTGGCAGTTTAATCTTTCTGTAAATAGGTACACTAAAGTGAAATATGGTAACTTGTTCCCTAAACTGTCCTTGTAGTTAAATATATATATTAAAAAAAACTATAAGTTAAAATAACATTCAGATTGTATAGCATAGGCTGATGCATTTTAAAACAATATTTACAATATTACCCAGAGGCTTAGGTGGGAATTAAAGAGAAGTGTAAAAACCATAAAAAACTGCACCAATTTTATAGCAAAATATCTGTACATTTAAAAAGATCATATAACTACACATCCAAGGAAAAGGGACCTTCACCAAGGGGTTCACATAAGCACAACATAAAATAGGAACTTCAGCGGTTAAATACTATACAATAAACTTTACAATTAATATATTGATGTACCAAGAAGATAAGCCAGAAGCAGAATGTATATTATGAAAAGTACAAATTTAGCTTCAGTCCAGTTTTTGACTTTGGAATGGATCAAGTGCCCTGCCAGAGAGGAAGGAAAAATAACAGTGGCTTAGTGAGCCATTTAGTCCCATTACATATTATTTAAGCTTAATACCATGTTAGTACTTTTTAGCAACTTAAACTGCAATTCCCCATAAGTAGTCTGGGAAATGCATGAACAAGTTAGCCTTGATAGACGATGCCAAGTGTATCTTCTCCAATTTACAGAAAATAAGAAAAAATTGCGATTGTCAGAGGAGAATAAGGCCAGGTTCCTAATACTACTCTGCTAGCAGATGTAACCTTGAATGCTTATTAATAGAGCTAGTAAACTTCTTCCTTGCAAGGCACCAATTTCTGTTCTCAGAATTAATAATGGTCCTCAGAAATGCTAATACTGATTACTGAGATGTTAATTTTAGTGCTAATAAATACACTTGCATTATTTAAAAGCTGCCTCTAGCTGAAGAACACAGTACTACAAATAAGTCTTATACATTATATCCCCACATTCATACCGGTGAATGCTTCTCACAGAGCATCGTTCTCTAGCACAGAAATAGTGGAATGTGAAACTGGAAACAAAGGGTTGAGTGACCTTTGTGCCACTGCAATTGCATCCTGTTTGCACTTTGCCAGGGCCTGGTTATAGACACAAGGAGTCTCATCATGTGACTTTTTCCTTCTTCCAAGTTGCAAGTAAAATACAAAGTTGATGGATATGGCTAAAACAAAATTCCTTCAAAGACATCTCAGCAAAGGACCCACAGCAGATGCATTCATGTTATTTACAACATCAGGAAACCAGGTGGGCCATCATGGGACAATCACAATGGCAGGTAATGAGTTTAATAAGAAATTTACATTTTGGTTAAAAAAACAAACATACTGGTGTAAAAAGATACCTAATCAAATCAAATCCTATTGCTTTGATTAATCTGAACAGGTACTTCCATTTTTAGGCACTTGTTAACAAGGGTTGAAAGGAGAGCTCATTTTAAAATTATTTTGTGTTTGCTAAATCTGAGCCCTTAAGAATATTTTTTGTGTGTTCAAGGCTGCAGTTAAATGGTAGCACTTTCTTAAAGTTCATGTGGGCAGTTTCATTCATGCACACCCTGTATTCATGCAGGCCGGTCTCCGGTTCACATTGTTATTTCGGCACCATTAACAGAACGCAAGTTCTGATCATCAAAGCGCCGCCTGACGCTTCTCCTCACCGCATCGGCTCGTCTGTATGGTTGGTTTCTAAGATCTGTAAAGAGGAGAGTGCCAGTGAGAGAATAGCAACGTTTAATAGCATGTGTCTAAGCAAGACAAAGGCCAGCTGGCAGCCAATCAAAGCAGCTTGTGTAGAAAAGTCAGCTAATAGGCCCTTCAAACTCACCGAGCATTGAATCAAAGACATAAACATTTGCCTTCAATATTTATAATCAATCAAAATAGGGTGTAATACTGGTAGGATTCTAGGACTTTGAGAGAAAAATACAGATTATTTCTGTCACTGGCCAGAGTCTAGCTGAAGTCTTATTTTGAAATGTTTCTTAAATTAGAAGCAGCTGTAGCTTAATTTTTTTGTTTCTGGAAGCCTGAATGAATAAACAGTAATTGCAGTAAATTTTACACTGCAAAATTAATAAACCACACTGTCCTGTCCCATCTTATCCTTGCAGTTGTAACAAGAACCTAAAGGCTTTCACTTTGCAGATAAGGGACTCAATTTTCATTCCATTAAGCTAGCTAAGTTTATTATTTTGTAAATTTTAAACAAAATAATGTTCAATTAACCATTAAATCTAAACCAACATAATAATCCATTCCCTGACATCCTTTTCGGCCACCTATTTTTTTTTTTTTTTTTTTTTTAAAGAAATGGGGTCTTGTTATGTGGTCTAGGCCAGACTTGAACTAGTCTCAAGTGATTCTCCCACCTCAGCCTCCTGAGAAGCGGGGACTACAGAGCTCTACCACCCAATATTTTTTATGTTATGTCAGCAAGGAGAAGTTATCTGGGCCCTCCTGCATAAGAAAATCCGTGTTAAATGAATGAATCAATCACCGCATACCAGTCCAAATAGGCATTGCTCTGTCGGCATGAAGGGATGAGCAGAGGAATTTTATGCAAGGACTCAGTATGAAGGCAAGCTTTCTTGAGTAAGTCAGGTAACCTAGCCGGCAGGCTAGGGTATGCAGCCTCCCTTTGATGAAGTCAGGGCATAGTGCAAAAAGTAAAGCAGGCATTATACTTTTCCTCTTGTTCTGTTTAATTAGTATTTACTTCCCTTTCATTAACTTAGTATTGTTGACTTCTGCTAGAATACATGGTATCTTTAGAAAGGGAAATACAAACAAATAACAGAATTAAACCAAATTGAATCTTTTGTATCCCTTTATCTACTCAACAAGTTGAAAGTGGAGCTGATGGACCACATTTGACCCACAGAATGTTTGCTCCACTGTGCCCCCCCTCACATTTTAAAATACAGTTTCCTGATGTTTAAATTGGTAATTAACATAAAGACCTGGGTTTCTGTATTTTGAAAAATTGGAATATCTGGCAAAACCGGGCCCCAATTCCTACACAGCAAAAAGAAGCTGGAGCTAAGATCTGTGCTCTTGGTTCAGCACAGTTCCTACCAGGCCTGTCACCTTCCTGGCTCCTTGACTCATGGGAATTTGTATGACCCTGCCCTACTCTTTCCTGGGGGGTTGTGGGGGGAGGACAGTCTTTGTCACCCAGGCTGGAGTATAGTGGTGGATATCTACTCACTGCAGCATCCACTTCCTGAGCTCAAGTGATCTGCCCACCTCAGCCTCCCACGTAGCTGGGCTACAGGCATTTGCCAGCATGCCTGGTTAACTTTTGTATTTTTTTTTTGTAGAGACGGGGGTTTCGCTTCATTGCCTAGGGTGATCTTGAACTCAAGCGATTTGCCTGCCTTGGCCTCCCAAAGTGCTGGGATTACAGATTACAGGTGTGAGCCACCGTGCCCAGCCTCTACTCTTAAATTTAAGGAAAAAATAGTTTTACATACCCCAGTCCTCTCAAGCCTCTGCTTCCTATCCCACACTGGCAATGGAAGGCCAGAATTACACTTTTGCCTCATATGCAGCTCTGTGGTTCTTCAACCGAGCAATTGTTCTAAAAATCTTAATCCTTCAAAGGCTTTAGTTCATATTCCCTGGCCAGGACCTGCTTTCAGTCGCTTCAGATCAAAATGGGTTTAACTGAGTAACTCAAAGACCAAGACAGGGGTAAAGGAAGGACAGCCCAGCACTCAAAGCAAATACAATCATCAGCAAATACCCTTGCCCAAGCCATCACACTTGAGAATTTAAAAGCAGGCTGAGAAAGAGTCCAATAGAGAGGCTCAATCCCTGCATCATTGGAATGTGAGGTACAAAAACTCCCTGGTCAGATTCTCACCAGTATTACCCTCAGCAATAGATTGAAACCATTGATCTGCATACAGAGAGAGGAGGAAGCTAAGTAAAAAGTGATGCTTGCCAGCTCTGTGTATCCTCCACCACCGGTGTGCTAGAAGAAATCCTTACCCTCGAGTGAACATTTGGAAATTTAGTGATATTATTCTTCTTTAAGGCTAAACAGAAAAAAAACAAAAACACAAAATGATGGTTAAGAAAAAATGGGATGAAAATGGAAAGCAACTCAACTTAGTGCTCAACATTCCCAGGCATGTTAGCCAACAGAGGAAGAGAATGGAAAGCCATTACTACAGGAAGTGTTAGATCAAATAAGGGAAGGACGAGTGCATCTTCCCACCCAGCTCTCTGACCACCCAGTTCCAAGCTGCTTTGAAGATTGGCTCCAGAAAGATACAGTCCAGCAGCAAAACTGATACAAACATCAGCCAAGCAGATGACAAGTTTTCTAGCCTGTTAATAAGCACTGGTGGGTAAGTACACTGCAGAGCAGGCAATGACACTCTATGTCCTTTGCTATCAGAGATAGAAGAACATACATAAGTGCAATTCATAGAATAGTTATGCCACAAAATAAACACCCAATTCCATGTCAATCTCAGCACAGGAGTCAATGGCTATGTCCAATTAAGAGTATGTGCTTCCCTTGTCTCTTTTTCTAATCAACTAGACACTGAAGAGAAGTTCGTTTCCTATTAGGCATCAAGAACTAAGCCCAGGAAGTTACTTTGAAAAGTTTGATCGTTTCCCCCCCCACCGAACTTAAAAACAGTGGCATTTTCCAATGATATTTGCTGTTAATATTTCTGGTGCCACCATCCTGACTAAAGCAGCAGGTCAAGATATGATCTGATCACAGAAGGTATAGCCTGGGTTTGACATGGAACAGTGAAGATGTGTGAATGAGATAAGACAGTGGGAGCGCCTAAGCCTTTGTATTCATGTCCTGCCTCACAGCTTTGCTCCAACATGGAATTACTGATAGTTGAACATGGGCATGACATTCAGAAGGAATAGAGGTGGCCTACTAAGGTAGGGTGTCATAAAGCTATGAATTGCCTATATCTACATATACAAGCTAGGTCAAAAGGGCTCCCTGTGTTAAGCTCGTATTACGAGTTCCATCACTGTGGACGTATAAGAGAGTTAAAAGAAAGGCCCAATCTGCAGCTGTGCATAGTTTACAGTTCCTTCTGCAAGTCATTTTGTACTTCAGAGCACTTTGCATTCCTGAGCACTTTCATATGGCAGGTGATTATGCTATCAAATCATATTAACGGGGTACAGGACAAAAGGGCTAGGTTAATATCTGTAAACCTACTAGAACAGTACATTTTGTGGGTTTCTGTTTTGTTTTGTTTTTTGTTTTGTTTTGTTTTGTTTGAGACAGGGTCTCACTCTGTTGCTGAGGCTGGAGTGCAGTGACGGGATCTCCACTCACTACAACCTCCACCTCCTGGGCTCAAGCAATGCTCCCTCCTCAGCCTCCCGAGTAGCTGGGATTACAAGTGTGCACCACCACGCCCAGCTAATTTTTGTGTTTTTTGTAAAGATGGGGTTTTACTATGTTATCATAAGGCTGGTCTCAAACTCCTGGGCTCAAGTGATCCTTTTGCCTCAGCCTCTCAAAGTACTGGGATTACAGGTGTGTGCCACTGCATCCAACCTGAACACAGTAAGTTCTTAATACATGTTAGGAATAGCAGTTATTGTTATTAATGGCTACTATATTGTGTTGAAAGACATTAGCTCAAAAATCTTAGAAGCAATCTACTTGGTACCAATCCTGATTCTCAAAGAAGTGCTCTTAGTATTTCTGCTCTATTTTTCTGAAAATTTCTGTGAACAAGTCTATGAATTCAACTGTCAAACACACCCAGACTGTTACAGCAGTGTGAATACATACATGTATTAAAAGTGGCAGTGAGTGATCAATAATGATTGAAATGCAAAATCATGCAGCATGAGAACACACAATATAACATGATGGAGATGGCAATTCCATGCTAGCATGTTGGTGGGCCCTGACAGACACACAGAGGGGGACATAAGAGATCAAAAAACCTGTAGCAACCTTTTAAGAGCATCAGGTGAGAAAGAGTGATAGTTTAGTAATGGTATTCCTCAGTGAGAACAGGTTCGCAGAAAAACCGAGAGCCACGCTTGGCGGTGCGAGCAGTAAAGGGCACAGTCTTCAGCACTGCATTGAAAATGACAGCCAAACAACACAAACAGAAGAGAATAAAAAGCCAAGATCTATTGCATTAGTACATGGTTAGTGCACTGTTAATCATACCTGGGGATGGGGGATGGGGTTTGGGGGAGATGGGCAGGAAACGGGGAAGGCAATGTATACTCAAGTTAGTTCATAAAGGTACAAAGGAGTTTATCTGGGGCTTTGGGGTGAGTCAGAAAATGAAAAATGCTCCAAGGAGGATAAAAACTGCCCTATAAACAGATATTCATTCCCCTCTTCTAGTAGATTAATGACTTAGATCAAGCAAATAGAAAACGTACATTACATTCATTTTATAAAGCCAGATGTAATTGGGATGGAGGACATTCTAATGAAAAAGGAACTCCAAGTTCTTTGTTTTTTTTGTTTTGCTTTGTTTTTTTAAGACAGAGTCTCGCTCTGTGGCCCAGGCTGGAGTGAAGTGGCGTGACCTTGGCTCACTGCAACCTCCACCTCCCGGGTTCAAGCAGTTCTCCTGTCTCGGCCTACCAAGTAGCTGGGATTACAGGCACCAGCCACCATGCCTGGCTAAGATTTTTGAATTTTTAGTAATGATGGGGTTTCATCATGTGGCCAGGCTGGTTTTGAAGTCCTGACCTCAAGTGATCCACCTGCCTCACCCTCCCAAAGTACTTAGGATTACAGGCATGGGCCACCGCACCCAGCCAGGAACTCCGAGTTCTTAATGAGCAAGGCTGGATGCTTCCTTGACTACAAGTTCATTTTATAGCACTGAGACCAAAAAGTGCTTACCTAGGAAGGAAGTCTATTCCTGGTCTTGCTTAGAGTGGAGTTTCTCACCCAGCATGGAGGAGGCAAGGAGAGGTGCTACAATGAAGGTTTTATCTGGGGGGCATCTACAAGCCCCTGCATTATGTACACTGAAATACCAACAGGCACACGTGCAGAGTGTGTGTGCCATGTATAGAGAATGGCATTTTCATCAGCCACTTACTATCCACTTAAGACCTACACTGCTTTAATCTGGCAGGGAATTCATTATTGACTTCCTTTTTAATCTGTCTAATCTACCTAATCACCGAACCTATGTATTTAATTTCCCTGGGTTTGAGCTGTTGAGAAAAAAATTCGTGGTTTTCACCATTTAGGATCCCAATGTACAATGTTCACTAAGCTATAACAAGAAATGAGACAGGCCAGGCGCGGTGGCTCACACCTGTAATCCTAGCACTTTGGGTGGCCAAGGTGGGCAGATCACGAGGTCAGGAGATTGAGACCTTCCTGGCTAACATGGTGAAACCCCGTCTCTACTAAGAGTACAAAAAAAATTAGCCGGGCGTGGTGGCGGGCGCCTGTAGTCCCAGCTACTTGGGAGGCTGAGGCAGGAGAATGGCGTGAACCCAGGAGGTGGAGCTTGCAGTGAGCCGAGATAGCGCCACTGCACTCCAGCCTGGGCGACAGGGCGAGACTCCGTCTCAAAAAAAATAAACAAAAAGAAATGAGACATCAAGAGTCTAGGAATTCTATTTTTAAAAATCAGGACAGTTGGGGAAATGTGAACTTAATATCAGATATCTGATATTAAGGGATTCTTGGTTGGATGTGATAACGGTGTAAAGTATGTTTTTGTTTTTATAAGAGTCCTTTTGAAGATACATATTGAAATATTTCCAAAGGAAATTCTACATCTTGGTTGTCAAGGGTTGGATATGGGGGTAGGTAGAGTGTACGTGTAACAAGACTGGCCATGAGTTCATAATTTTTGAAGTGGATGAGGGATATATGGGACCTCATCATACTATTTTCAGTACTTCTACATATTATTGGACTGTCCCATTATAAAAAGCTATAAGCATCTGGAAGCTTACAAGCAACATTCATGTGCAACAGACATGAAAGAAAAGTCACTTGTGGCCTCTGCTACTAGTGTCCAAGTTATTATTCTGATCTGTAAAAGGAAGTACAGAAATCTGGGAGAATTGGTTTGAGGAGATAGCATTAAGCTAATTTAATCAGACAAGAACCAGGCTGGGTTAACACACAATTCTTGGCTGATAAAACTAGTTCCCAACCCTGGGCTGGAAGCCTGTTGGCTCATCCAAATTAAAGTACCTACTGACTTCAGTTACTTTGAATGAGTAAAGAGGCTTTTAAAGAGCATCCATGGACTATGATTAGTACATTGCTGAATGGGTCTTGTTCACAGTGTTTATTAATCAGGCAGGTGGCTAGGTGTGGCCACGAGGGAAAAAAAAATGGAGCATTATGACATATCAATAACAATGGAAATCCTTTAAATCAAGGAGCTCTGCTGAAACCTGCAGGGTTCCAATGCAGAGTATTGGGGCAGTATACATGCTGCTGTTAATAGACTTCAAACCCTCTCTGCATCACTCTGGGTGTGAATAAAGTCAACTAATGAACTTGACAACCCTGGACAAAAGAAGCTGTAAAATCTGCATGCATCCCAGTCTAGGTAAGGCCAGTGGGATCTCCACGAGCCACAGTGAAGAAGTATCTTTTACCTGTGATAATATCTTCAATGGCACCATCTTTTCCCTCATATACATGTCTGTTATCTTTAACTTGTCGTCGTCTTAATTCTGCAATTAACTCTTGCTGCTGCCTCTTTGATTTATGAGAAGGAGACTGAGAAGAAAGAAGGGCAGAGATTAGTGAGGCCAGCACCCATTAGGAGTTTGTGAAAATCCAAAATGTGCCTGAGCATTATGTTACTAATAAGCAGCTTCGGCCAAAAACACACACTTCCCACATTCTGCTCAAATGCAGAAAACTCAAGTTTCTGGGAAGGAAACAGGAACTTTCACTAACGAACACACAAAACTTCACCTGGCGGCAACAAGAGACAACTGGTAATGACTACAGACGTCAATTGTGTTACCAGGGATCACAATGAAGAAAACTGTATGCACTGCCAGCCTTTATGCTCTAAGCCCTTCCATCACTGGGTCATCTGATGTGGCTTCTCTGTATATCCAACTAAGTTCCAGATGTCTATAAGCCTGGATATGCTACACAAACATGCTCTTAGCCTCATTCCAGTGGTTATGGAACAAAGTAATGACCATATTTCCATTTGCCAAGTGTCCAGGCACCAGAAGGAAGTGATCAGGATCCTGGGCACACCTAGCTTGCTGGTCCTTCCTTTGGCTTGCTCTAAAGAGCCCTCTCAGCCTCTCCTCGCGGACCTGTCTCATGAGCGTGGCATTTCTTACCTTTGGATCCTGCTGTTCCATCAGAGCTTCTTGCTCCAGGAGTTTTTCCATGAGAGCTTGTTCCTGCTTTTTCCTAAGCTCGTTTTCCTCTTCTGCTTGCTGGATAAATCAGAAGAACCAGAAAGATCATGTTAATGGGAATGATAGCAGCCAAGATTTTTAAAAGTCATTCTTCAGGCATCCTTAGTGAGTTGAGAATTAGAATAAATGGAAGGTTGAGAAGATCTACACTTCATGCCTGTATTTAGCTCTGCTTCTGGGCTACGCTATCTGTCACATCTCTTTAAAAGCTGGGAGCTGAGATTCATCCAGAAGCCCTTTCCTGATGATCCTCTCCCTGTTTGAACTTCCTCTTAGTCTCTGTCCCACACACTGGTGGACACCTACCATCCTGGCAGCTGTGCTCAGTGATTTTGTTTTCCTTTCAGAGACAGTCTGCCTACCTAGAGCTCCTCTGATAGCAGGATCTAAGATTCTTCTGCTTTCTGCCTATTTTTTAGGGGAAAACCCTCATTTCTTTTCATGGCCTCACCAGAGTGACACTCTTGGACTCTCCCATGCCTCACTCCTTCCCAAGGGAGGCAGTGTGACTAGTCCGATGAATCTAGAAGAAAGTGAATAGGCTCACCTCAGCTCAGCCCTCTTGGGCAGTCTTTCTTCTGAAGCTGGCCTCCCTGAAGAGACCTCTAGTTGTCAAGCTGTGAACTGATGGATAGGTCACCTACCTAATTTGCAGCTGAAGTAGGTCACAGACACCACATTTTCCAGCCCAGCAGTTATCAGTAATAAAGTTTACATTTGGGTCTCCATTGCTTTTATTTTCATTTTGGTCTACATGAGAGATGATGTCCTAAAACCCCAACCTCTGCCTACAAAGTCCCTACAAAGTTTCATCTGCTCCACCTATATCCCTGCTGATGCCTCAGGCTTTGAGAAAAACCCCAGCCACTTCCCAACCTGTCTTAGCCGATTTTAAAATATATTTTCTCTTTTGACCTTAGACTTACATGTTTTTGTGAGAAAAAATGGCACAGCACAGGCTATCTCTGCAGCACATAAGCACAGCCAGCCAGTGGGTTTGGGCTACCAAGCACTGCAGACAGCAGCAGTTGGTGGCCTGCAGCTTTCTCGTCACGTGCAAGTTCTCAGAGTCTGGCACATGGAGTTTGTGCCGTGTTTCTGTTCACCCTGACTGCCACAGACATGTTCCCTCTACCAGCAGCTTGTATCTCTACTGCTACATTAAGTCATGCTGAGGGAAGATGGACTAAAAATATTTTGACTTTAGTAAAAGGCCCGATAATGATTTTCCAGAGCCAGCAGCCCCTAGTGGTGTTAGAGAAGTGTCCCCCTATTTCCAATGGGACTTTTCTCAAAAGTGTAGAGAACCCTGCCACATCCCTTCTCCCCTCTGCAATAAACATTCCTCCTACCTCCATCAATGTTATCAGTGCTACATGCAGACAAGCCTGAAGGATATAGATTGAGGTGTTTCCAAGGTCAGCTAAAATCTTCTAACAACCTTCTTGTAATTTCTCAAGTGGACAAATTCTTCTGATACATGCCTCTTTGAGTCATAGGCTTTTTCAAGACCACAGCCCTGGATTATGTCCAAGAGGGCCTCCCATTTAAAGGAAGGGCCACTTACTGATCCACACCAAGAAACAGAGTGCCCATCCTTAAAAACACCATCCTTCAGTCCACACTAGAGAAATGCTGGTCTAAGAGGTCCTAAGCCCCGTGCTAGGACTAACACAAGCAGGCTCTCTTTAACCTCTGCTATATCATGCACCTTCGCCACAGGCCACAGCTCACTTCTACCCATTAAACAATTCCACAAGAGGCCTGGATTTTCAAGTCCTTCACCTTGCCTGCCTAGGTGAACAGTCAATGGGGCAGCAGTGGTCTTGGAGCATCTCTCTTGCCCCAAGGGGGCTGCCAAGAGCTTTGTTTTCTGGCTGAGGCAGAGGACTGGCTAGGTGGAGAAAGGGACCATAATGTTCCTCAGCTTCCACAGAGCCAGGGACTGCTATCTCGTGAAGGCCACCCAGATCTGCTGTCCACAGGAACTGGGAGGTCTCTGCAGAGAGCTGGGACTCAGACACATCTTAAGGAGGGCCTTAACATATACCTTGTATGCTTTCACAAACCGGACGAAGACGGGAAAGAAGACAGAGGGTGGTGTTGTCTTGGGGTTTTCTCCAAAATACTTCACAACATCATCAAAGGCATCCTGTGAAGAAGCAAATTTTTCTTGAATTTCGTTCGGCATTTGAACTGGATGCTCTGGGCGGAACACTGATGCAAAGCAGCCGCCACGAGACAGGCTCCCATGGCCTCGCGTTGCTGCACCTTCCTTACCTCCCAAGATTGCCTAACACCTTTGTGTTTCCTCCAAATGCCTCAGCAGAGGCAATCCGAGGAATGCAATAGTGGGGCACAGGAATTCATCTGCAGGACCTTCTGCCACTTCTACACACATGCATGCACACACATGCACGCACACACCCCACATACAAAACACGGAAACCTTTCTTTCAAGTTCCAAAGGCCGTGGCAGAACCCCTTAAAACCAACAAGGTCAAAAGGGATCTTAGTCACTCTGACCCTAAATCCCACTCCCTTGCTTCAACACTCCCTATGACAGCCTCACACAGGGGACACTCAGTCTCTGCCTGAACTCTTCTATGATATAAGACTGCCACAAACCGGAGGCCCTTCCACTGAATCTGGTTTCTGAGTCCCCATCCCCCAACTTTGCCTCTACCTCCTCTGATGATGTACTGTTCATTCTGTTTTGCAGGCCTGCCTATCAGCAACCCCCAGTATAGTGTAAGATTTCTGAGGACAAGATCTACAGAAACCCAGTACACAGGGAACACTGCTTTGCCGAGCACAGGCCTGATGCATGTGGGCTGAACTGAATACAGGACCCACAATGGAGTGGGTGTTGAAGTGAAAGGGGAGATGGGGGGACAGGGTAGAGAGCCCCAAATTAGAAAAGGACAATGAGGACGGGGCCCTTCCAAGAATAACCCTGGGAATGGTCCCCCTGTAATAATCAATAGCTACACAAGAAATCTACCCTCCACAAACCGAGGGAAATGGAACATTTCTCCCTAAATCCAGGGCCTGCACCACAGGCAGCTTTAATGGATGCAGCCTCTTCACAGGTTTCGGGGGCACCAATACTTGCCTGTGCAATCTTGGCATCATCCTGCAGCTTCTTCAGCTTCCCCTCATTGTTGAGGATGAACTCCTTCAGCAGTGTGTTGTGGTCATGCATGGTGTACTCTCTCTTGGTCAAGTCCATTCCCCTCTGGAGCTCCTTGACATCCAGCAAAACATTCTCAAGGGAGACTGAAGCAGAGAAAGAACATCCCAGTGAAACTCAACGGGGAAAGTCACAACCACAGCGAGTCTGGCTGCTGGGCCAAGTTCTCAGGAGATTCTTAGGCTTACCCAAGGGCCCTAAACCTAGTTTCCAGCTTTTGGCACAGACATCTTTTAATACAAAGAAGCATTATAAGCACTACATTACATTCTTTGCATTCACTAGTTCTTTTGCATCATTAGGTCATTTTGCCAATGAGCAAAAGCAGCATAAAGGGGTTCCGTGGCCTGCCCTTGGTCACACTGCTAGTAGGTGGCAGAGGAGTTCAGGTAACAACTGAGGACTCTAAATCCCACACTTGCACAAAACTCTTCCATTTCTCTTACAAGAAATAGCCTGTCGGTGGGCCGTAGGCTCAGCGGTCCTTATCTGCAGCAAGCCTAAGGTTTTGTGTGTTTTAGAGACAAGTTCTCACAATGTCATCCAGTTCTCACAATGTCACAAGCAGTAGTTCCATCAAAGCTGACTGCACCTAAGTGGTTCCATCAAAGCTCACTGCACCTTCAAACTCCTACCCTGACATGAGTGTTGGGATTATAGACATGAGCCACTGTCTAGCCTATAAACTCTTTTTGCATTTCTCTGACTCTCAAGCAGGGGGCAGCCTTTTGTCTGTTGACCATAGGTTGTATTGATTACTAGGACCCAAAGCAGCCTTGCACAGCTACTTTAACAACCTCTCCCTATTCAGAAAGGATAAGTGTGAACCTTTCTGTCTGCAGTGTGGCCCCTCCCAGGGCAGGCACTGCCCCCGGAACCTCCTGAGCAGCTTCTGTGGGATGCCGGGTCCCAGCTCTGGGCCTCCTTGCCTGACTCAGCTCTGCACATGGACAAATTATTGGTGCAAAAGTAACTGCAGTATTTGCTGAAATACGCTGTTTGATACTGGAATACATTCTTAAATGTGGTTATGTTATACATCATTTTAATGCACATTTCTCACTTTTTTTGCTAATGATGTATTACTTGCTTTTTATATTTATTTTAGACTACAGAAATGACGTTAGACAAAAAGCAAATTCAAGCGATTTTCTTATTTGAGTTCAGAATGGGTTGTAAAGCACTGGAGACAACTCGCAACATCAACAAATGCATTTGGCAATGCATTTGATGGTTCAAGAAGTTTTCCGAAGGACACGCGAGCCTTCGAGATGAAGAGCTTGGTGGCTGGCCATCAGAAGTTGACAACGACCAACTGAGAGCAATCATCGAAGCTGATCCTCTTGGAACCATACAGGAAGTTGCTGAAGAACTCAACATCAACCATTCTACAGTCTTTTAAAGCAAATTTGAAAGGTGAAAAAGCTCAGTAAGTGGGTGCCTTATGAGCTAAGAGAAAATTTTTTTAAAAATCGTTGAAGTGTCATCTTCTCCACTTCTACGCAACAAACCATTTCTCAATCGGATTATGACATGCAACCAAAAATCGATTTTATATGAGAATCAGCAATGACGAGCTCAGTGGTTGGACCAAGAAGCAGCTCCAAAGCACTTCCCAAAGCCAAACTTGCACCAAAAAAAGGTCATGGTCACCGTTTGGTGGTCTGCTGCCGGTCTGATCCACTACAGCTTTCTGAGTCTCAGCGAAACCCATTATATCTGGGAAGTATGGCCAGCAAATCAATGAGATGTACCCCAAACAGCAATGCCTGTAGCCAGCATTGGTCAACAGAAAGGGCCCACTTCTCCATGACAACACCCAACCACACACTGCACAACCAACGCTTGAAAAGTTGAAAAAATTGGGCTACAAAGCTTTGCCTCATCCGCCATATTCACCTGACCTCTTGCCAACCGACTACCACTTTTTCAAGCATCTCGACAACTTTTTGCAGGGAAAATGCTTCCACAACCAGCAGGATGCAGAAAATGCTTTCCAAGAGTTGTTGAATCTAGAAGCATGGATTTTTTTCACTACATGAATAAACAAACATTTCTCATTGGCAAAAATGTGTTGATATTAATGGTTCCTATTTTGATTAATAAAGATGTGTTTTGTTTGTTTTTGAGACGGAGTCTCGCTCTTTTCACCCAGGCTGGAGTGAAGTGGTGTAGTCTCGGCTCACTGCAACCTCTGCCTCCCGGGTTCAAGCAGTTCTCCTGCCTCAGCCTCCCAAGTAGCTGGGATTACAGGCGTGTGCCACCATGCCCAGCTAATTTTTGTATTTTTAGTAGAGACAGGGTTTCGCCTTGTTGGCCAGGCTGGTCTCAAACTCCTGACCTCAAGTGATCCACCTGCCTCAGCCTCCCAAAGTGCTAGGATTACGTGAGCCACCGCACCCGGCCATAAGATGTGTTTGAGCCTAGTTATAATGATTGAAAACTCACAGTCCAAAATCACAATTGCTTTTGCACCAACCTACTAAAACAGTGCAGTAGGTTTTTCCCTCAGTAGACTCACACTGTCTTATCCTTGATTCTCTAACACTTATGATAGTGCCAAGTACATGGGGGGCACTCAAAGGTGTTCCCTGGATAAATGAAGGAGGGAGTGAATACATGAGTGAAGGCATAGAGAATCTGTGTGGGGCAACCTGGGCACCAGAGAGCAAACAGAAAGAACAGTTTTGCCAAGGAGCAACCCAGTCTCCCATTTTCCTCATTGATGTTTTTCAAATGACATCATTTGGACCAAACAAAATGAACTAGTACCCACTGGTCAGATACAAATTATAATAGCTTTTTAACATTTTTCTTAATTAGAATTGTGAGGTGTAAGAACTAATTTAGGCAAAGGGAAACTTGAAAGGAGGAAAATCACTTGGTAAGAACAGAAATTCTGCCTGCTGTCTAAATGAGCCCCAAGCTCGTTCTAGGTCTATCCAGCCTGCATCATATAGTTCTTCACAGAGAGTCATCTCCATCTGCCTCTCAGTCTCCACCACAGCGTCTGCAGCATTTATTCCCGTAACAAGTGCATCATCTCATTCATTCATTCATTTGTTCACTTGTTCATTCATTTATTTCCAACATCCAATTTTCAGGGGCTGAGAGAAATAGATAAATAAAACCTGATATACCCTTAAGAAGTGCACAGATTGGCCAGGCATGGTAACTCACACCTGTACTCCCAGCACTTTGGGAGGCTGAGGCGAGAGGATCACTTGAGCCTAGGAATTCAAGACCAGCCTAGGCAACATAGGGAGACCCCATCTCTACAAAAATTTTAAAAATTAGCTGGGCATAGTGGTGTGTGCCTGTGGTCCAAGCTCCTCAGGAGGCTGAGATAGGAGGATCGTTTCAGCCTGGGAGGTCAAGACTGCAGTGAGCTGTGATCATTTTACTGCACTGTGGCCTGGGCAACAGAGCAAGACCCTGTCTAAAAAAAAAAAAAAAAGTGCACAGATTGCAATGGACATGCAAATTGTTGTAATACAGTATGAGAAATCTTGTATGAGAGGGTGGAACAGAGTGCTCTTTAGTGAGAACACAGAAGCAGCAGCCATTTACCCTAGCTGAGTTGGAGAAGGCCTCACCCTCAAAAATTTCATATGCCTGAGGTATCCCATAGGAATCTGAATTTATAATAAACACTGGCTGCTTATGGTTCAATATCATAATTTGAGAATCACAGCCTGTAACTGACTGTAAGGTCAATCTGCGTATCATTCCTTTTTCTAATATGCTTTTCAGAGAACATGGTATACTGGGTGATACACTTCATGAAAAGTAAGACCAGGTTTCTAGTCCTGTTTCTATCACTTTCTACTCATGTGACTTTGGGCAACACATTTAACCTCGAAAAATCTCAATTTCCTTACCTCTAACAATGGAGATACTATTACCTTGTACATCCCAGCTATCTTAGAGTCACAGATGATTTAAATGAGAAAATGTATACCTGTCTTAGCAAAGTAGCAACCAAGAAGTGCTGATAATTTAACTAGTGTCCAGGCAAAGGCAAAATGTTTACAACTACCACACTTGAGCAAGTAGAATGGCACAAAACCAAATTAAAAGTGTTTGTTGGGTGATGATTTTCAGATTCTCATTCTCACATTTCATACAACAGCAGCAGAATAAAAAGGGCAGTGAATAAAGGAGGGAAGGGACATGACGCTCAGCGGTCTGTATTTTACAGAAAGGACACAGAGATCACCTTTACGCCCACGTTCTCTTCTGCTCTCAGGGGTGGACACCACCACAGCCGATGTGTTCCAGCTCAGAGTGGCTGACTTCTTAGCCTTGGCTTTTTAAATGGGTTCTGAAAAGTGTTTAAGCAGGGAATGGCTCCACCACAATTAAAGGCATTAATACCCAAGACAAACGGTAATAGCTGAAATCAAGTACCTGCAGCAGCTTTTTCCACATAATGAAGCTCATTATAAAACAGGGACACTTGGTGATATTTTTCTTTCACCACATTGGATATATAGTGCAACAGTGTTTGCTTTCTGTCTGTTGACTTTGTATCTAAGAGCTGAAAACAAAAGGGAACATGGGTTAGGTACAAGAGTAAAGGGTAACGGGAGAGCTACCCCTCAGATGACGATTTCCCACCCAGAGTCATTAACTGAGTAATGGTCGCCCAACAGGCTGGAGCATTCCCAGAGGAGGGTCAGGATTCCATTTGTTCCTTAGTGAACCAGTCCACTGATGCTTAACTGGCTCGAGAACTTTCCAACCAGGGCACATGCTTAACTATAGGGATGACTCTAAGCACCTGAGAATGGTTCACAGCTTTCCTCTATAATAGTTCCTCTTTACCCACAGGTTTACTTCCCATAGTTTCAGGAAACCTGCAGGTTTCAGGTATCCAAAAATATTAAGTAGAAAATTCCAGAAGTAAACAATTCATCAGATTTGAATTGTGCACCACTCTGAGCAGCATGATAAAACCTCACACATGCCATTCCCATCCCTCCTAGACCTAGAATCACCCTTTTGCCAAGTGGATCCATGCTGTAAACATTACCTGCCATTAGTCACTTAGTAGCCATCTGGGTTATCAGGTCAACTGCCGCCTATTGCAGTGCTTGTGTTCAAGTAACGTGTTTTATTTCACTGCTCTTTTTTTTTTTTTTTTTTTTTTTTTTAAACTTGGAGTCTCGCCTGAGTTCAAGCGATTCTGCCCCCTGAGTAGCTGGGATTACAGGTGCCCGCTACCAAAAATTAGCCCAGCTAATTTTTGTACTTTTAGTAGAGACAGGGTTTCGCCATGTGGGCCAGGATGCTCTCAAACTCCTGACTTCAGGTGGTCCGCCTGCCTCAGTCTCCCAAAGTGCTGGGATTACAGGTGTGAGCCACCATGCCTGGCCTATTTTATTTTTCAGTTACTATGAATCTCTCACTATGCCTAATTTATAAATTCAACTTTATAACAGATACGCATCTCTAGGAAAAAAATAGTGTGTATATAGGATTCAGTACTATCTGAGGTTTTAGGCATCCACTGGGGTCTTGGATCACAGCCCCCATGGATAAGGGGGACACTGATTACTGGACTTACATGAACTCTCCCAGCCCTGCATCTACTATCCCACCTTCCTTGCCTTAAAAGAAGGATGGCTCTAATTTTAGTGCTCTTTGAAGTGAAGAGCCGGAGGAGAAATGGGGATGTAGAGCCAGCAGGTGCGTGCAGGTGCCTCCTACACAGCAGGGCTCCTATGCTCCAGTTTTTACATTTAGCTTAGCCCCTCCCTTATTTCCTAGCCTGTGAAGACCTGAAACAGACATGCTTAACTGATCACGATCTGCTGGAGGCCAGCACTGTGACTGACGGGACACTCCTTATTAAATAACTAGCTCCCTGGTCTAGGGACTCAACCCACTGCCCAGCCTTCTCATGTGGCAATCATGTTAGGCCTGCACAGCCTGGAGGGAGTCCACGGGGGATTTTCTCTAGACCTGTTCACATTAGGTAGGTGACTCTGAAAATTAGAGCACCTTGCATGCAACAACAACAAAAAAATTTAAGAAAATATAGAAAAGTACTTACAAAAACAGTTTGAAAAAATTCCCTGATTCCATCCAACCTCTGCTAATATTTTAACCTACTTCCATTGTCTTTCTCCCCACATAGTTTACTTAGCTGAAATTCAACTGTATATGCAAAGCATACCCTGCTTTCTTTTCTAAACACAAACCTTTCTTGGAACACTCTTTATCAGTATGTTAATGGTGGAAGAATAATAGTTCACTATATTAACTAGCGTTACAGCACATTTAATCATTCCCACAGACCTTTAGATTGTTAATTTGCAATTATAAATAAAATACAGCATTCAAAATTCAGACACTTGAGAAAAGATTCCGAGAAATGGAAATACTGGCCGGGCACGGTGGCTCAAGCCTGTAATCCCAGCACTTTGGGAGGCCGAGACGGGCGGATCACGAGGCCAGGAGATCGAGACCATCCTGGCTAACACAGTGAAACCCCGTCTCTACTAAAAAAATACAAAAAACTAGCCGGGCGAGGTGGCGGGTGCCTGTAGTCCCAGCTACTCGGGAGGCTGAGGCAGGAGAATGGCGTGAAGCCGGGAGGCGGAGCTTGCAGTGAGCTGAGATCCGGCCACTGCACTCCAGCCTAGGCGACAGAGCTAGACTCCGTCTCAAAAAAAAAAAAAAAAAAAAAAGAAATGGAAATACTGAGTCAAAGGGTATGAGTAATTACAAGTTCTATGTGCTCTCTGTCAATGGTGTTCCAGAAAATTAGTACCAATTGAAAATATTCATCAAAACATCCCCCACCACCCTAACTTCATCTCTGCCAGCCATCTGTCCTTCAGACAGCTCTCAGATTTCTTTTAGTCCACTCACCAGATCTAAACTCTGAAGTTTAAATCCATAAACTGCTCCTCTTTTACTGCTATTCATGTAGTTTCCGAGGGCTAAGATGATCTGCAAAAGAGAAGGTGAAAACAGAAGCCCATCAGTTCAGCACATCAGGCACTGAATACAGCTGAAGTAGCCCTTCATACCTACAAGAAAAACTGCACTTGCCTCCAGAATTTTCTTGAGTTTCTGGGACGACTTTATAGAGACAGATGCTGCTATAATCGCATGTAGTTGCTAGATTCCAATCAAAGAAAGAAAAAGGGGGGGAAAAAGACATGTTAAAAATGGGAAACTAATTAGCAATTAAATATTAACACAGAAGAAAACAGGCCTGCATTTAGAGCATACAATCTTCATGATGAGAGTCTACTTTTCCAAAGTATAACAAATTTAATTGTCTTGCTAGGTTTCAGGTAATATTGTTACATGCAAGGTCTTTACTGAAACTGTTCACAATAGCAAGTAACGTAGGAACTTGCTTGTCACAAAATCTGTAACCAATCTATAACCATTAAGACTCAGAGTTAAGAGTCCATAGCTTCTTCTGGTAGAACTTAATTTCCTGCCCACCACCTCTAGTCATGTCATACAATTAATATTTTTAAATCAATGGAGGAGGCATCAAAAAAAAAAAAAAAAAGGCAGGGGGGAATATAATACCCCCAGAAGTTCACAGAACATGTTTTCAACAGACATACTACTATAAGCAGAAACCAACAAATTTATGTAGAAACAGAACTGGGAAAGAACTGACTACTATAATCAGTAACAAAGTTTATTTAGAAACAGAATTGGGAGAGAACTGAAGTTTATGATATTCATAAATCTCCACAAGATTAACACAAGGGAATGAGAGATGGTTGGCTATTATGTCTATATCACCACAGTTTACTGTAACACACTTACAAGAAAGAAAACTCTTATGGTAAATTTAAAGCTTTCAGCAAAAGCTTGTAAGTCTGCTCACTAAGGAGAGGGCAGCATTTTTAGAAATGAAAGTCACATTTTCACTCCTGCCAACCCCGTCAGAGGACTATTATCTTCAGGGGGGAACCAAGTTTGAGAAAAGAACCAAGTTTCTTTGTCCTCTGCCTTTTGAAATTTAGAGAACATCTGTAGACACACAAAATGGCATTCTTTCGGAAGAACAGCAATATGGAATATGAACATTCCCCATTTTTTCAAATTTACTTTGCATATATAATGTGGAAAAGATGGACAATTTAGAAAGTTCTGGGAAGGAGTCTTTAGAACCCAACACACTGAGTGCACCTCTGGGAGAGACTTTAAAAAATTATGATTCCACATTTCTTTGGACCCCCCTCCCCTGCCAGAGTTGGTCCACTCACAGGAGTCAGCATCTGAATGCTTTCAGCAAAGTTCCCAATGAAAGCCATGATAGTCATCTTCTGCATGAGCCTCTCGATTTTACTAAACTGCATCATGAACCTGTCTTCATCTGACAAGTTTTCCAGAGGCTTCCTTTCCCGCTCGTAGAGCCGAAGCACTTTCACTTCATTCTCAGTTGGCAGGAACCGCATTAAGCATTCCACAAAGTCTACAGGCAGTGTCTTCAAGTCAAATCTAAAGACGGATGTGGAGAGATTAGCCTTAGAGAGAAAAAACCTCCTACCCCTTTTTCAAGTTCATCCTTCTTTTCAGGTCCGTCCATCCATCCATCCATCATCCATCTGGTACAGCTCAGCAAATACCAAATCAATGAGTCTAAGATTTCTCCACTTGTCCACCCTGGTCCTGGTGCTGAGGCTTGACTATGCCTCAGGTAACTTAATTGGTTCTTCCTGAAAACCTGGACCTTGTCACAACTGCCATCCTCAGTTTTTAGGGGACTGGCATAGCTCTAAGCCTCTGGAATCAGGAGTAAATGAAAATAGGAAGAGGTAGAACCAAGGCCAAAGCATCTGATGGTTTAATGGTTTAAGGACATAGCTGACAGGCATTGTGAAGTACTACTGCTAATTCAGGAGATTAACACTGTACACATTATCACAGAATATCTGCTGAATTATGTAAAATATTTCAATTAAACCAATAGTCTGGTAGCATTTTTTCTTCTTTGGGAAAAAAATGCATCCAAATGCCTGTATTATCTGAATGTTTTAGGTCAAGTGTGTACATTCCTTGAAGTTCTTTTTGGATATATGCTTAATTTGAACAAATTAAGTATTTGTTACAATCTCTATTCTCTATTATTCTCTGGACAATCTTTGTTCAGCTAAATAATAGAATTACATTTAATCATCATGACAAACAAGATATATAAAGATTTAAAGCCAGGCTGCACTTCAGCATTCAATGTCAGAAATGAGAACAGACTGTAGGAGGCACTGGACTACGAGATTATCACCCTGGCTGAGGACACAAAATTGGAACAAAGGATTTCTCAGGGTCATGTACACCTCTAAGTCTGTAACCAAAATTTACAAGATAATGCATTTATAAATAATTAGTTCCTAAAACATTTAATAATGTCTTCGTCACATTTGAAAGTCACCATGGCCACAAGAATAGAAGGATTCTTCTAATAGAGAAGTAAAACCAATGCCTTCTATGCAGTTCAAGAGTAAAAAATGAACTTTGTTTAAAATGTCCTGAAAGTACTAAAAGCAAAACAATTCATTCCTGTTGTTATGAATTAAAATATGCATCTGTATCATATTTGCGTCTGGCATTGAGCTGTATCATTCCACAAATGCCATCAAATTTGTATTCAACAAATCTGGATAAAATTCAGATACTCCAGAGAAAACTGACATCTTCTACCTTTTCTTAACATCTGCCACACTCAGCTCAACTTTCCTTTTATGTAAGCATTGCTGGAGGCCCGCATAAGAGATAATAAATGATGTCACAATCCAGATGTTATTCTTCTAAAACAATTAGTTACTCGTTCTAACACAACACTCCCCGGGGTGATTTCTGGTCCACCTCTTTCGTGTTGGCATCATATGCAACTTTGAAGTAGCACACACAGAGTTCAGGAGATCTCTGAAGTATGGATATCAAAAATTGCTCCAGCTTTTATCTTAGCTCTTGCCTCACTATTGAAATATTTGTCATCTACTAATTCATAACTTTCTCATTTTCATTTTATTATAAACTAACTAGAATATAATTTTCCTGAACTTACACATGAATAGCTTTACATATTTCATCAGCAGTCTTTCCAGCTTTCCTTAAAGTTATGGCAAGATTTTTGGCCCTGTTTGCTTCTAGTAATGTCACTTTGTTTGATCCCTTCTGTGGTATCTTCTGTTTGCTTGAAGAAAGATCAATGGCAGGACCTTGGGCTTTTGTCTTGAATATTTCCTCAAATTCATCCACATTTAAATCCTAAGGTAGAGAGGAATGACCATGGAAAATTGGATTATATTTAAAAATGAAGTCTGGAAGCCACCAGTTAGTTTCTTAAGCAAAGACATTACTTTTTCTATTAAGTACTTGTCTTTGGCCATGGCTTGCTCTATTTTTCTTGTTTTTGTTAGAGTACAAATTCTGGCACATACACAAAAGTGAACATAGGCTGGGTGTGGCGGCTCATGCCTGTAATCCTAGCACTTTGGGAGGCCAAGGGTGGATCACTTAAGGTCAGGAGTTTGAGACCAGCCTGGCCAACATGGTAAAAGCCGCTCTCTACTAAAAATACGAAGAATAGCCAGGCGTGGTAGTGTATGCCTGTAATCTCAGCTACTTGTGAGGCTAATCAGAGAACTGCTTGAACCTGGGAGGCAGAGGTTGCAGTGAGCTGGGATTGCACCACTGCACTACAGCCTGGGCGACAAAGCGAGACTCCTTCTCAAATAATAATAATAATAATAATAATGATAATTAAAAAATAAAATAAAATTAAAATTAAAAAAGTGAACATTAGACTACCGATTCTAACCCACCAATTCAATTGCTTTTCAATAATTAGCTTGCATAGACAGCTGCCACAGATTAAAATTATCTATCAAATAAGGCAGTGAGTGTGGTAATTGAGTTCTTATTCACTTACAGTCTGAAAGTTTTTATGTCTTTCAATTAAGGGAAGGAATTATTATGTCAGATCTATATTCTGTGGCATACACTGAAAATGCTCAAAAGCATTTATTCTAATTTAACATAACTCTTTAAACACAGTTTTAGAGCCACCTTACAAAATAGTGTCAAATGTTTTTCTCCGATATTACATATCTGTTTCTTCTTTACATCAAGGGACTTATAACACTAGTACTTTATCTCTGACACTTCCAGGTTAACAGAACACCCATGTTGGCTTTGCTGCACAGAGCGCACCTCTAGTTTCTAACCAATGAGAAAAATACCTCCAGAATTCGCTCATCATCAATTTCATTGAAGACTGTGCCATTGATCTGATTGGGCTTCAGAGCAACCCAGTTAAACACTGGCATTCGGAACTTTGTCTTGATTGGCTTCTTAATTTTCACAGCTAAAGACATCAAAGAGAATGGAATTAAGATCCCACCAAAAGTCTACGACCCTCAGAAACAATCAGACAACAGTCCTTGCAGATGACACTTTAACACTGGAGGAAGGTTGGCAAGAGGCGCGCAAGTAGGTGTTTAAAGCTGGTAAACAACACACATGGCTTCGGCCAGAGCCAGTTGAGGTCATCATTTGATTGTATTAAAAGCCGTCTAAGGGCCAAGGGTTGATTTTTTTTTTTTTCTTTTAACTCAGGCAACTAATTTGCTGCATTACAGTTACAATATTAGGACGATGGTTGGGACAAATAAATAGTGTTGGAGAGCAAAGATTATTACTCATGTTATTAGATAGCAAAGAGGGCAAAAACTTGCCATATTTGGACATCCTAAATTCTTGGTTGTGGACCACATATTTACAAACAAACCTTAGAAGATGATCAGGGAGTGCAGATAGTGGCTGACTAGACTACCAGGAGTATAACGTCATGAAGGCTGACTTTCCACCAGGGCAAGACCTTCCTGTGGGTGATTCCGATGTATTGGCTGCCGAGTTATTTTAAGCAGACTAAGGGCTATGAAAGGCCTAATGAGAAAATAGGTTTTTGAGGTTTTGAGGTCTTGCTCTGTCACCCAGGCTGCAGTGCAGTGGCGCAATCATGGCTCACTGCAGCCTTGACCTCCCAGGCTCAGGCAATCCATTCACCTCAGCCTCCAAGTAGCTGGAACCACAGGTGTGTGCCACCATGCCTGGCTAATTTTTATATTTTTTATAGAGACAGAGTTTCACATGTTGCCCAGGCTGGTCTCAAACGCCTGGACTCAAGCAAGCTTCCCCACTCGGCCTCCCAGAGTGCTGGGATTACAGAATTAAGCCATCTTGCCCAGCCTAAGAAAACGTTTAAGACGACAGAACAAAAAAAGGGGTAAATACAGAGCAAGACTCTGTCTTAAAAATAAATAAATAAAAGGGGGGAAAAAAAGGAAAATAAATTGCAGGGCATGGTGGCTCAAAGTCTTAGCACTTTGGGAGGCCAAGGCAGGTGGATCACCTGAGGTCAGGAGTTCAGGACCAGCCTGGCCAACATGGTAAAACCCCCGTCTCTACTAAAAATACAAAAATTAGCCAATTGTGGTGGTGTGCACCTGTAATCCCAGCTACTCGGAAGGCTGAGGCAGGAGAATCACTTGAACCCGGGAGGCAGAGGTTGCAGTGTGCCGAGATCATGCCATTGCACTTCAGCCTGGGCAACAAGAGTGAAACTCCATCTCAAAAAAAAAAAAAAAGAAAGAGAGAATGAGAGAGAGAGAAAGAAAAGAAAGAGAGAGAGAGGGAGAGAAAGAAAGAGAAAGACGGAAAGAGAGAAAGAAAAAAAGAGAAAGAAAGGAAAGAAAGAAAGAAAAAGAAAGAAAGAAAGAAAGAAAGAAAGAAAAGAAAGAAAGGAAGGAAAAAGGAAGGAAGGAAGGAAGGAAGGAAGGAAGGAAGGGAAGTCTAGAAAGAAATCAATCTAGAAATTGTATTGATTCTCAGATTCAGAAATGGCCACAGTCCCTTGCCCTTCTTTTTGAAAAGCAAGTTATTCCCAGGAGTCAGCTGTGTTTGACTAGGAGGTATTGATACACTCATTAAAAATACTGAAAATCTCTTAATAGAGAAAATGGGATGTATCTTTAAGGGACTATGGTGAGTGCCAACTCCTCTCACTGTGAGGGAATATGCCAAAAAAGGTAATCCATTTAAAATTATATTTATCTGTTATATATCATAAAGAAGTCTTCCCAAACCATTTAGCCATATACATTCAGCTTCATCAGTCTGTCCTGGGTAGCCCATCACACTACTTGGGAGCTTCACTATTTGTCATTATTAGCAAGACAGGCAGGAGAACTTCAGTGCTTCAGTGCAGAACAAAATAAAAGCAACACACGACTAAGCTTGTAGCTGGCTGCCTGCCTGCTTGCCTGCCTCAGTTGGCGTTAAATGACACAGACGGTGCCTCTCATTCCTCCAGAGTTACAAAGGCCATTTAAACAGCAGGAATGTCATCTGATAAATCCACACAAAAGCATGCAGAAAAACAGACACAGCTTTAGCCAAACCAGGCCTCTCCACCACCAAACGTGACACCTTTGTCCCCACTACCCCACAGTGTCAGATTCCTCACCATACAGCATTTTGTCTACACTACCCAGGAAAACAGATGTTCTCAACGGGACAAAGGAACAGACTTTCCTCTAGCACTTGCTCTTGCATTGCCTCTGGCACTTCGGCAATGTCAGGGATCGGGGAGCAGCGGAAGGGCTGCAGAGGAGTCTTTTCATAACCTGAGGTGACAGGCTGGTGCCAATGGCTTCCTACCTTCCTCCCACGGACATAGTAGGCTCATGACGCTTGCTAGAAGTTTGCCATCTGCAACCACTCTTCTAACTGTTTAGCAAGGTCGGGAGTAAGCCTGAGATCAGAACACAGGCAAGAAAGTTCTCCTCCTTGAAAAGGTTTACCTGGCTTTAACCAGGGTGGGAGTGAAGAGGAGGAAGGCACACAGGTGACCACTGGACACACTGTGTCCCCACGGTTCAGGCCAAAGGCGGGTAAGTGCTCCCTGGAGTGGGCCAGAGACTAGCATGAGGGAGGGAATGGAAAAGGGGCACCTGGCACCTTTTCTTTTGTTCTTTTTTCCCTAGAGTAGATCTAAAATCCTTTTAGAGTTGAAGCCTCAGATACAAATATAAAAATTAAAAGAAGAAGGAAAAAAAAAAACTTTCCTCAGAGGGAATGGAAGAGGGCATGTGAATCCAGGATGTCTTCTTCAAGGACAATAATCTCTTGTGTAGGTTCAACTAGAATGTGTGGGCAAACCTGGAATCATCATCAGCCGCCACCAAGACTTCCCGCAGACACAAAGTCAAAATGCAATGGATCAAAGCAAAATGGAGTGGAAAGATGTCAAGGCACAGTGTGACCAACAGAAACACATGGCAAATACTCAACACACTCAGTGAGGAGCAACCTACAGAAAAGCTTGATTGGCCCATCTTTTGTGGAAGCAGAAAGAACAGAGAAAATACAAAAAAAATTAGATATGGTTAGAGTCAAGTGGCTCAGCAGTTCACGCACTCAGCATAGAATTTCATGCTTCTTGGACACATTTCACAAGGCAGCGCAGAGCCAAAAATTCATTTCCATTCAGGCCTGCCTCCAAGACTCAACTATTTTGTTTAAAAAATTATCCTCTTTAGAAGAGGGAAGAAAAAAAATTATTTCATCATAGTGGTACCCAACAGCAATACTGAACTGTACTAGGCATTTCATAGGATAGGAATAATTTTTACATGAAAAACAATCAACCAAAGTCCAAATTCACATTGTGATGATCCAAGCACATCCTCCCAAAGAGACAGCAAAGGTTCCATCTGCTCAGCAGTCTGTCTCAGGTGACCTACCCAGGGAAAGGGAGCCAGATTGTTCTATCACAGACTTGAGAAAGCAAGCCTTATTCTTCAAATGCGTATTTCACACTACTAATATTTTCTCTATAAAATACAAAGAAAACTCTCAACTAGATAAACTATGGGGCCCTCCTCTTGGTCTTCTGTCTTGGCCACCTGCCCATTGAAAAGATAAGACCCTCCTGTTGCCTGTGGATCCAGAGGCCAAGTGATGTCATAGGTTTCTGACTTCCCAGGAGGCCTAAGAATATCAGCGAGGCTCTGTCTCTTGGTTCTACTGGGGGCATCCTAATTCTGTCTGGCCTCTTGGTTCCAGAGTGACAGAGAGTTACTGAACACACTAGCAAAAACATCTCACCAAATGGGCTTCAATCACTAGGTATTAGCAGTCTAAATAAGGATGAATAATAAAGAGGGATTAAAAGCCTTGTAGAAATTGCCTGATCTCAAGCTATCAAAGACTCATAAGGGTCTTGTAATGCTTCCAAGACATCCCTCACAATCATTTAGTGAACACTTATGGAAATAAAGAGTTCCTCTATTTCTACCTACAGTCCTCTAAATTGCATAAGCCACAACAGGGACCACTTCCAAGTATAGCAAACCCTAAAAGCAGTTGGTTATCAGCCGAGCACAGAGCTCTACACATTAAAATACTGAGGCAATTGACAGAGCCAACACATTTTTAAAATCAAGCAGTGGGAAGAGCCCAAGCAAATTAATAAATAGATCAATCACACAGGACATGGCCCCTTGGAGGGAAGCTCTGGACACATCTCAGCCTCTGGGCTCTCACTCAGCTAAGGCGGTTCTGAGTTCTATGTTAGTGCTCAGGTGTGTGGAAGTGGGTGCTAAATCACACGTTAGTGTTTGTCAGAGACAAAGGAAGCAGCCCTAAATGAGACACCACAGCAGACACGTCTCACAGCAAGTGCTCCTTGGGGGCTACCAAGAGTGCCTAATCAGGGTGGCCAGGTGCACGGGACAATTATGGGTTTCCACACCCAGTTACTGACAACAGCCTGGTGGTGGAACACATTCCCAGGGCTTGATATGAGGTTTCCTGTTTGTCTGTTTATATTCCATAGTCCATCAGTTCCAGGATGACTCTCCTCCAACTTTTCTCCTTCAGAAGTAATAAAAGTTCTAGAAGAAAGTGGTAGACGGGGAAAATCTTGAAGGGTAGAAATAAGTCACCAATTTACTGTGAACCTTACTGTGAACTGGAATCTTGTTTGTTTCCCTGACAGTTTTATCTAGAAGTCGGGGTGGAAGTAAAACCATGGATCTGATGTGGAGTGAATTTATTCCAGGTGACTTTGGGGCATCCAAAAGGGCTCCAGTCACTGGGATGAACGAGCCCTGATGACCGGCTGGCAGAGCTGCAGATGGGAGCCTGGAAGGGATGGAGATGGGGAAATCTTTACCGCTAAGACTGGCTTTTAGACTTTGGGCAAAAGGCTCTGAAAACTATCACAGCCTTGGAAATGGAGGCCATTAGAGTGGTAGTTCTTCATTGCAAATAAGAGACCTCATGAACAGTCTGAAGTAAATGAGGAGGCAGAATTACCCCATGTCACAGGGATGGCAAAGCTTAGAGCAATTCCAAATGCTAGGGAAACACTTCAGTACCGGGAAGATGGCTTGTAGCATCAATCATTGTTTCCGTGTGTCAAAACAAAGAACTTAGATTTCAAGGCATTAGAGTGACTCTCTTCCTCCTGCTCTAACCCCTACCTCCCATTTTATTTCTGGTGAGGTGAGGATGCTGTTTTCTATCTTCTGGTTGGCAAGAGGACATGAATTATTTGGAAGCATTTTAAGGCATGATAATATGGCTGTTGGCAACACCTCCTCCTTGAAGTTTAAATCCACTCTAGCAAACTCTGATATTCTCAAATGCTCAGAAGACATGCCTGGAAGCCTACATCGGGCAATTACACATAAAAGCATGTTTCCCTTTTATAGATGACATCATAAATACCATTAAAAAAAAAAAAAAAGATCCAGAAGCACTCAATGTCTGTGCCTAATATTGAGCTTTGACTACTACAGGTAGTATCTGTATTGACTACTCCAGGTGTCCAGAAAGTATCTGCTGAACCCACAAAAATGCACTGATCCTCAAGCAGGTAGCTTGTCTCTCTTCCATTCTCTAGGTGGGGCCAGTGGAAGGCAGGACGATGGTGTAGGAGATCAGAACCTCCCATTGTGGGGTATGGTTGTGAAAAAGACTACTCAGAGCAAAGTGTCTCCCATGCATGATGATGTCCCCTCTACTGGCTACATCAGCAGGAATTTCTTACACTAGAAAGAGATACATGTCATTGCAAGAGACCTGGACTTTGAAAAAACAGCTTCAACTCTCCGAGATAAGACAGCCTTTCTGATATGAGTACCTGGATTTGAATTCTGTGCTCTTACCTGCTAATCCTGAGTTGAAAACCACTGTGGGTGAAGATGTTCCAGGCAGCGGGGGTGCAGAGGGAAGGGGAGGTGCTAAGGGAGGAGCTGGTACAGTCTCAGCTACAGGGCCTGGGAGAGGAGGAGGAGGAGG